CCGGCCCGCCCTGCGCTCGGCCATGTCGCGACAGAAGAACGTGTCGTGAGGAGCCCCCGCCTGCTTGCCGCGGTGTGTGAGGGGGCTGGACAGAGCGCTCGGGGGCTGCGGGGAGCTGAGGGGGAAATGGCTGAATGGACACGGCCCAGCGTGTCTGATGGGTAAAATGAATAATAGAATATGATACATATATATTATATATAAATATTATATAAATGTTATTTCTCCGAGGCGATGAAAACAACGCTAGGTCGAAGCAGGCAGATTTCACTGAGCTGTGGGCAATTCTTGCTAATCTAAATTAGAAATCGTAATTAAAGCTCACAGATAACCTCCCGAAGGTGGTGCAGCGTCTCCGTGGTGGGAGTGATTAAAATTAAATAGGAAAAATCCCTCAGGAGCGGTGTATGGGAATATCAGAGCCAGAATATGCAAGCCTGGAGTGCAGGGTGCGATTGTCCCACTAAGGTCCTTTTCCCTGGCTTTGGGTGCACAAACTTGTTTGGCTTCCCTGAGTTTTGGATCTGTGTTTTCCCTGGACAGTCTGAGTATTCTGCATGGATTTGGAGCAGGGACAGTGGTTCTGTGGAATTTTGTGTAGGATAGGTGACATTGTCCTGTGCTGAAATGCTCTGGGAAGGTTTGTGTGGGGGACACCGAAAAGCTCCAGGTTTTGCTGCTCTTGTTGGCAAAGCTGTCAAATTTATTCCCCTTTGGATTGGTTTTTTTTTTTTTGACATCGTGGGTTGGAAGGGACTTTAATGCTTATCTTGTCCATGGGCAGGGACACCTTCCACTATCCCAGGTTGCTCCAAGCCCTGTCCAGCCTGGCCTTGGACACATCCAGGGATCCAGGGGCAGCCACAGCTTCTCTGGGAAAATCCATCAAGGTATTTTTATATATAATTTTAAATATTTTTAAAACCGGACATTTTGAGTCGCATTGGCAACTGAAACAGTTAGAAACCGTGCATCACCGGGAAGTCCCCACATGGAACAGTGTGTAGTTTCTCTTCGGTTTTCCCTCTGTTTTTCCAAGCCCTGCACTGTGTCAGGGAAGGTCAGGTTGGATATCAGGGAATGGTTCTTCCCCCAGAGGGAATGGTGACATTCCCGAGGCTGCCGGAGCTCCGGGAGCGTTTGGACAGCTCTGCCAGGGATGCGCAGGGTGGGATTGTTGTGGCCAGGAGCTGCAGTGGCTGATCCAGCTGAGGGAATTCCGTGTCTCTGTGCTACAGCACATCCCGAGATGGCCGACGAGAACGAGGAGCTGCCGGCAGACGAGGAGCTGCCGGCGCCGGCCGAGGAGGGCTTTGAGCAGCTGGAGAACGACAGCCCCGCCGAGCGCAGCGGGCACGTGGCTGTCACCGACGGGCGCTGCATGTACGTCTGGGGAGGATACAAGGTACAGCTCCTCTGCACCAGGCTGGGAATTGTGTCCCATCCATCCGGGAGTGACGCTGGGAAATTATTCCTCCCCCGGAACACAGCAGCAGCTCCAGCGAGCAATTTGTAACACGGCCCTCGGGGTGTTTTGCGATGTTGAAATAAATCACGGGTGTTAAACCTTGGCAGATACACGGATTTTTGGGGTGTTGTTTGCCTTTGGCAAAGGGTGAAGGGAATATTTATTGATGGGAATTGTGGGGCCTGGGAGTGGTGGTTTTATTTGCACAACTGTATTTTGGGTGTTGAGGATCCCAGGTTTGTTGTTGTCACACTGCAGCACCACAAAATCATTTCAGTGACAAAATCATTGTCAGCAAACTCAGTAAATAACTCCTGTCGTGGAGGGGGTGGGGGAATGAAAAAGGAGCTTTTGGCTCATTTCTGCTCCCTAGCTCAGGCTATAAACCAGAGGTTTAACTTCCATTTAGCTCCATCTGGCTCTGCTGGGAGCTGATTGTCCCCAGCAGGTGCTAAATTGGGCTGATTCCTGCTCTCCGTGCAGGTGGGAGGCACAGGAGTGTGGGAAGCACAGGCACTGCTCCTGCTGTGATTAGGTCCCAGAGGGGGTGTAAACATTCCCAGGAGTCTGTAATTCCACGTGTCAAACATCCTTCTAACACTGCTTTTCCTTCTCTGACCTTCTGCAGAACGCCC